AGAGTCATCAGTATGTACATGGCAAGTAAAGCCATGATTACAAATAACATTGCCCAGCAGAGCATGTTGGCATGTGCCTATAGTGCCAGAAACACAGGTGGCTGAAACAGGAGTGTCCCTTGAGCCCAGGAGTTCAAGGCTGCAGTGAGCTATGATTGCACCACTGCACTCTAGCCTGGGTGACAAAGTGAGAACCTGTCTCAAATAAATAAATAAATAATAGCATTGCCTAGGAAGGGATATGAGGAGTACCTTGGGTAATAGCAACAGGCAAAGAATGAGGGTAAGAAAAGGAGCTCCCAGGAGAACTCAAGAAGGGAGCCTAGAGAAGAGCAGTTCCTTATAAGCCAAGGGAGTAGAGTTTCAACCAAAAGAGTACGCAACAGGATCAGATGCTGCTTAAAAGTCAGGTAAGAGGAAGACTGAATGTGGCCACTGAGTTTCGCAACTAGGTCACTGGCAGGAGGCATTTTAGTGACGTGGTGTGGCCAGAAGCCAAACTGAAGTGGGTGAGGAGTGAATGGAGGTAAAGGAAGGGTGACAATAGACTGGACATGGTGACTCACACCTGTAATCCCAGCACTTTGTGGGGGCCAAGGCCAGGAGTTCAAGACCAGCCTGGGCAACATGGTAAAACTGTCTCTACAAAAAAAATTACAAAAATTAGCTAGGCATGGTGGCGTGCACCTGTGATTCTAGCTACTTGGGAGGCTGAGGTGGGAGACTAGCTTGAGCCCAGATCAAGTTTGCAGTGAACCGTGATGGTACCACTACACTCCAGCCTGGGTGACAGAGTGAGACCCTGTGTCAAAAAAAAAGAAAGAAGGGAGGGAGGAAGACAGAGAGAGAGAAAAGGGAGGAAGGAAGGAAAGAAGGAAGGGAGCGAGGGAGGGAGGGGAAGAGAGGGAGGGAAGGAGGGCTGGTAGTAACTAAAAACCTTAACTGAAAAGGAAGGATAAAGGTGGGGCACTGGTGACTGAAGCAGGTGGGGGCAAATGAAATTTTTCAAATAGTTGGAAGAGATTTGAGTAGAGCATATCTTGAGGAGAACAAGCCAGAAAAGAGGAGAAGTCAAGGTAAAAAAAATTAAGAGCAAGTGGAGAAGGATAGAATCAGGTCTCTGAAAAAGACCTTCAGTCTCTGGAAAAAACCATTCAGATCCCAAGTGAGGAACTGCCTGGGCTCTCTCCCACTGAGATGGCATTTTCCCCAACTACACACCCTCAAACAGCCCAACAGGCTGTGTAGGTTGTGTGGTCTGTCTCCAGGTGGGTAGAGCCCATTGTCTGTAGGGAGCGGCCTGGTCAGTAGGTTTAATTGGTGACCACTTTGTCTGGTGGTCCTGCAGACCAGAGATGAGAGACACATAAGTATTTTTCAAGCTGGGTTCTCTGGAGATGCCAGCAGGTGTGTTCTGTAGACAGAGGATTCAGGTAAGTTTGGAAAGTGCTATCCAAGCTCTGCAAAGCCGGCTTGTAGGAAGGCTGAGCGTTCTCTGCTGGCAGAGATGGACATTTGAGAGTGAGGTGGCCAAAGGGAAGAAAAAGCCTGCAGGAGAGATGCCAGGACTCGTACGCAAGGTACTTAGGGGTAACGGAGAAGACACCTATGGAAAACCCTTCGATCACAGAGCAGGAAGCAGAATTCTCATTGGCAGAACACCTCTACTCTGCTTGGAGATTATATTTTGACAAAGATTCTTTGCTTGGCCAAACTTTAGTCAGGCTCCCAAACCTTCCTCTAGATCCTTTGTGCACTTCCATCTAAAACCCAGTTTTAACAAAGAACCCTGCTAAGTCAGTTTAGCAAGAACCCTCCAACCTCAATATCGGATTAGGTTTATCATCCTCTACTCTCCCCCAAGTGATACCTGGTCACTTGGCCTGTCTAAAGCAAGAATTCTGTTAGGTTGGTGTTGTGAGTAGCATAAGGTCACCAGGTTCACGCACATGTGTGTCTTTCCACAATCTCGGGCTTTTATTGATCCTATTTCAGTCACAAAAGCCACAGCTACATGGTATTCTCAAGGAGGCAATTCTCCTTAGCATTCCCCATTCACTTGGTAATAAGAGCTGGGGGCGCACAGGATCAAGTCACTCCACAAGTCAGTCAATACTGCCAACCATACATGGTAATATACTTAATCAATGTATAAATGCTATAGATTACACATTCCATACCAAAGTAACATTTAACATCAAGAGAAAAGGGGAGGGGGAAGATGGGATTAACAATCCAGTCCAAGGAGAGTGACTTGGACAAGGAGAGTGTCCTGGCCTGATCCAAACAGCTCTCAATGTCTTGCAAGGAAGAGTCTTTGATGTGGGCAGAGTGTGGGCAAGATGGGATCTATCCAGACGGCCATCTCCAGTTGCTGAACTCCTGCCTTTTTGAATGGCCTCAGAGTCCTCTGGTGAGGTCTGATAGTAAAGAGTGTGCCTGTTTATGTCCTTATCTGGGGGGTGTATAGTCTTTATTAATTAGGCAAACATCTGGTTCCTGTTGGCATGAGGCTTTTTCAAATGTAAAATGGACCCTTTTCCTAAGATGGAGTCACTTATGTCAAGGGTGCTCTATACAACCTGTTTAGCCAGAATCCCCCTCAGCCCTGATGTTTCCCTTAATAAGTTTCTATGCACTGATCCCCACCTTGGTCCTTGGCAATAAATTCCCACTTGCCCATGCTGTAATTGGAGTTGAGCTCAGTCTCTCTCTCCCTGCGACTGCAAAATCTCATTGCAGAGGTCCCTACACCTATGGTGATGGTCCTGGACACAGTCTTCCTTGCGATGCTTTAACGTGTATCATTAAATAATTTTTTCCTTTAGCAGTGTCCTCCGATTTTACTCTCCCAGTTCTTGGCAGTGTTATTATCACAGCCTGGCAGAGGAAGAACCAGGACTCAAGAGGCCGAAGAGTCGCCTGATACTCAGTGCTCACCAAGTGGTAGGGCTCAGCTCCCTGTGATTTGGGATCCAGCCTCCTGTCCCTACAGCCCACGTGCCTTTACACCCACAAGCAGCGCCCAGGGCTGGGGTCAGAGGCGAGCTTGCACAATTGCTGCTGCCCTGCGTTGGGACCAGGGCGGCCTGTGATCTGCAACAAAGAAGCTCCCCCACGTGCCTTTGCCTTCGCTCTGGCAGCCCCTGGTTGGCTTTGACAACACCATCAGATCCCAAGGCTCTGGTCCCGTACAGGCTGGGCCTGGCAGAGGCGACGGGAGGAAGGCGGGCCAGCAGGGTGTGTCGCTGGGCCTACTGGCAGACACGACTTTGCTTTATTGTACCAGAACTACCCTAGGGACCCCTCTCCAGGGGTGCGAGAGTGAGAACAAGAGAACACAGGAGTTCTTCACACCTCTCCTGTCCAGATCCTTTGAGAGCCTGATGGAAGCAACAGGCCCTCTCTATAAAAGGGCACATACGCAACACAGAAGCCCGCACACAGTTTCCAGGTTCAGCAACCAGCCATCACCCTGCAGAGCCCTGCAAGCAGGCCGGGTCTCAAAGGAGTGTGTATGGGAATCATCCAAGATGCTGGCTAAAAAGGCGGATCCCAGTCCCCACCGAGGAGATTCTCATTCAATAGGTCTAGGGGAGGCCTGGGAGCCTGCATTTTTTTTTCCCATTTATTTTATTGCATTTTAGGTTTTGGGGTACATGTGAAGAACATGCAAAATTGTTGCATAGGTACACACGTAGCAGTGTGATTTCCTGCCTTCCTCCCCATCACCTACATCTGGCATTTCTCCCCTTGCTATCTCTCCCCAGCTCCCCACCCCCCACCGTCCCTCCCCTATTTCCCCCCAACTGACCCCAGTGTGTAGTGCTCCCCTCCCTGTGTCCATGTGTTCTCATTGTTCAACATCCGCCTATGAGTGAGAACATGCCTTGTTTGATCTTCTGCTCTTCTGTCAGTCTGCTGAGAATGATGGTTTCCAGGTTCATCCATGTCCCTACAAAGGACCCAAACTCATCGTTTTTGATGGCTGCATAATATTCCATGGTGTATTCAGGACATAGGTGTAGGCAAGGACTTCATGACCAAAACACCAGGACCTAATCAAACTCCACAGCTTCTGCACAGCAAAAGAAACAATGATTAGAGTGAATCGGCAACCAACAGAATGGGAAAAAATTTTTGCAGTTTACCCATCTGACAAAGGGCTGATATCCAGAATTTACAAAGAACTAAAACAGATTTACAAGGGAGCCTGCATTTTTTTTTTTTTTTTTTTTTTTTTTTTTTTTTTTTTTTTTGAGACAGAGTTTCACTCTTGTTACCCAGGCTGGAGTGCAATGGCGCGATCTCGGCTCACCGCAACCTCTGCCTCCTAGGTTCAGGCAATTCTCCTGCCTCAGCCTCCTGAGTAGCTGGGATTACAGGCACGCGCTACCATGCCCAGCTAATTTTTTGTAGTTTTAGTAGAGACGGGGTTTCACCATGTTGACCAGGATGGTCTCGATCTCTTGACCTCGTGATCCACCCGCCTCGGCCTCCCAAAGTGCTGGGATTACAGGCGTGAGCCACCGCGCCGGGCAGGAGCCTGCATTTTTAACCGGAGCCTCCAACAACTTGGGCGCTGACGCTCAGCGGAACCCACCTTGAGAAACCCGACTCCGGGCCTGAGAGAGCCCCCCGCACTCCCATGCTCCAAACTTTCCCCATCTCGCCCGGCGCACCTTCCCGCACGCTACTGGGGCGCGCGGTGGTGGAAACGTCAGGGGATCCCGGTGAGGATCGACAGAGACTGCCCATTGGGCCTGCCAGCTCCCCTCGCCCCCGCGCCACGGCCCCGGGAAGCGCGGTGCTGCCGCCAATAGGCGGCGCGGCTGCAAGGAGGACGCAGGCAGGGGGCGCCCGGCGGCCCCCAGCCCGGAGCCTAGGGGCGGGAAGGAGCGGGAGCACTCGAGGAGGGAGGCGCACCTCGGCGCGGAGCTCGGGCGCGGGGGCGGGGACCGGGGGCGGGCCGGGCCGGGGCGGGGCCGGCGGGCAGGCGGCGAGCGCCTGGGGAGCGCGCCCGGAGAGCCAAGAGGGAGGAGCGCGGTGATCTCCGACAGCCGCCTGCCCGCCCCCGCGCCGCCCGCGCGCAACAGTTCCCCCAAAGTTGCAGCCCAGGAGGCGGGCGCGCACGGGCGGCCGAGGGGCGGGCGGCCAGCGGGGACGCGGCCTCGAGGCCCAGCGCGGAGAGTCCCGGCGGGCGGCGGCGGCGGCGGCGGCATGGGCACCCGGCAGACCAAAGGCAGCCTGGCGGAGAGAGCCAGCCCCGGCGCCGCGCCGGGCCCCCGTCGCGAACGGCCAGACTTCTGGGCGTCGCTGCTGCTGCGCGCTGGGGACAAGGCGGGGCGCGCGGGCGCGGGGATGCCCCCCTACCACCGGCGCGTCGGCATGGTCCAGGAGCTGCTGCGGATGGTGCGCCAGGGCCGGCGGGAGGAGGCGGGGACGCTGCTGCAGCACCTGCGCCAGGTGAGCTCGGGGAGGGGGCTCAGGGGTGGGGGCGCCGGGCCAGGGAGCGCCCCGCCCCTAACCGAGGAAGCCCGGGGCACTGAGGGACACCGCCCAGGGCCCCATTCTCGGGGATGGAGCCCTGTCTGGCGGCAGGTGCCTCAGCACTCTCGCTGAATTTGGGGCCTCAGGGCAGGGCGGTGGATGGCTGGCCGGGTGAGGCCCGCCGGGCGGGACCTGTTGGCATATTATCCCCGCTGCTCTCCTCCGCAGGCAGAGAAGGAGGCTGGTCTCCGGGGACAGTCAGTGGGAGGGGAGGCAGGGATGCCTGCCTGGTCTGGGCCAGGGCTCTTTTCTTCCTGTCTGCCCACTGGCAGTCACTCCATGCCGAGGGTCCTCAAGGAATGCAGTTATCAGTTGGACCCGGCTTGGCTACCTGAGTGGGAGTCCAAGGGCACAGCCCCAGGGCCAATGCGATTCCAGTCCCTAGGTCCTTCACTCGCCTGGGAGGCATCCTGGATTGTAGTTCAAGGAGGAGACTGTTTCCCCTCCCCTGACTAACTTTGGCAGATCCTCAACCATGAGCCCCTGTGGAAAGCGGTAGAGACAGGGGAGCTGGCTTTAGCGTCCTATGTGACCACCTGGCCAGCAGGAACTTCAGGAGGCTGCCAGGACTCTGCCCTTAGCCTGTGCCTGTCCCATTGGCTAGGGACGCATGTTGCAGAATTTGGCCAGTTCCCTCTGCTTTGGGGCTGCCCTGGGGCTAATGCTGTCACTCACCTCTCTGTGGCTTGTTTTCTTTGCCCAGTTTCTTTGGTGGGGAGAGGAGCATGGCCCATGCCATGAATTTTGTTGAGTATGAGACAGGCAGAGAAATGCAAAGCTGCTCTCCTGCATCACCAAACAGGTTGTCTGGGTCAGGCTTTGGCGGGTAGGCAACCCAGGCCCCATATTCTTGCTAGACTGACCCCATTAGAGGTAGAGTCTACCGTGGATGTCAGAGAGAAAATCTCAGGTGACCTTTCTGAGGTTTTCCAGTTGCTGGTGAAAGAGGCTGTAGGAGCACCTTCCTGGGAGGAGCTTCCAAAATCTAATCATGCCCGCATCCCTCCTGGGTTCTGCTGCACTCTCCCCCACCTTTGTACCTGGTGTGCTCTTACCCTAAAGCCTGTGTCCCCAAGCTGCACACTGCGCAGGGAGAGGCAAGCAGAGATGTGGGGACCTGGGAAGATGTGGGACATCTGCTCCTGCCTCTGCTTTTCCCAACAACCTCCAGAATGATGCCCGAGACGCTGATGGATCCCCATGTGCCTTCTCAGTTGAATCACCAAAGAAAGATGACATTATGCACCACTTAACTTTAGCAGTGTGTATTTCTTTGTCTTTTGAAAATTGGAAAGTGACGTATGGCCTTTATAGTAACTCTTTCACTTTTAAACAGAGTAATGGGTTTTCCAGACCATGGTATCCCATTTGCACACCTTACAGTAAGAAGGTTTTCCTGATCCCATGCTGTTTCCCCGGCCCTGGAATGGGTTCTTTGGGGAATACAGCAGAGCTGGCAAGCACTTCTTGGAGGGTGAAAGACCAGAGTGAAGCTCGCATGATGGAAGGCCACTTGGAGGCCCACAGGAGGAGACTGGACCCAAACTGGGCAGATACTTTGGCAGTCCCTGAAAGGCTGTCCACATCCTGGGGACACTAAGCTTCTTCCTGCCTTGCAGGGGAGTAGATAAGCCCCTGCAGCCCCATGGGTGGCCCTTGAAACAAGAAGCATTTCCTCAGACATCTGCACATGGGTATTGGTGTCCTGGCACCCTCCTCAGCCGGAGGACCCGGAGGGCTGATGAGGGGTGGGAGGGGGCTTATCAAGCTTCCCCGTTTTCTGTGAAAGCAGCAGGTCCTCAGGTTGTGGGCTCGTGTTGGGCTTCCTTGACCACTGGCTGGGGATTCGAGGGCGATGGGCCTGGAGCTGCCCTGTGTGGCCTGGAATGGATGGAGCAGGGCCCCTCCAGGAAGTAGTCATGGGCCTTGAGCAGCATGGGAGTGGAGCACAGGGGTGTTCACATGCCTGTGACAGAGAGGTGGCTTTCTAGGACCCTGAGGCCATTTGGAGGAATGTCCAGCTGGATTTGTGCTATGCACTGAAGTGGCTCTGTCCCCTAAATTGCATTTTCCTTTCCATTCCAGTTTCCTCCTCTAGTCTGAAGGTGGTGATGTTCAGAAAGGGAATGAGCAGCCAGTGAGAGCTATGAGATCACACAGGCCTCACTGGGGTCAGACCGGCGAGAACCTCTTCCTCAGCAAGACAGCCAAGACAGTAAAGACGGGTCTGCAGAGCATGGGGTGCTGAGTTCTGCAGGAATGTCATGCAGGTCCCTGGGGTGGGCGTTAATGAGCAGACACAGAACCAGGGAGGGGCAGCAGCAAGGACAGTAGCCCTCACCCCCATTCACACAGCATGTTCTCCTGTGTTTGATAATGTGAGTTTGGCTGCCAGATTTGTGTATGCCCAGAGCCACATGGCTGGAGGGGACTTGGGAGCCTCCGTTCCTGTGCTCTTAGCCTCTTTGAGTCCTTGATCTTTTTGAGGCTCTGAAAGAGCTACACAGTCTTCCAGACAAATGCACTGACTCATTTGTCTTTACTACCTGGACTCACGCAATCTCACAGGCAATTTCAGAGGGTTCACAAAGCCCCTGAAACACAGACTCCAAGTTCAGAATCTCTGCTCCGGTCTGTACCACCCTTCCTCTTGCTGTGACTTTCTCCAGGCTGGGGATCTAGAAACAGGGACCTCACCCAGGAGCATGTGTGGCAGTTCACGGTGAGCTGATGGATTGTGGCTGCTGGTGCCACTTCTTCTGAATGCCCCTCTTCAGCATCTGAGGTTTGGAGGGCATCTTTCCAGCTTGTCACTTGCTAGAGAGGTATCAAGAGGCCTCATTCAGCACAAACGACCCTGAGCTGTGGCCAGGGGTACAGGCAGGATGCCAGGCAGCTGCCTTGAAGGAACAGAAAGTAATTCCCTTCCCTTTAAGATAAGGGTAATCTGAGAAGAGTCCAGGGCCAAGGATCAAGGAGGCAGCTCACCTTCCGGTCCTCAGTCAGCTGTGGCCTCGGGCCCAGCAGATAACCTCTCTGAGTTGTTTCTTTGTTTCCCAAAGAGGGATCTGGGGTACTGAGCAGAGCAAATGCTACAAAGTGTGTGAAATGGTGTTGGTGCTGCCATTCAAGACACGTTCTCATGGTGACTGTGATAAGAAACGGGAGAATCTGCCTTACTTTGGGTCTGGCCAGGCTGGGGTCAGGGTTCTGGTATTCTTTCTCAGGCCAAGAATTTTTTGGATTCTATCTACCTGGGCAGGGTTCAGGCTGAATCAAAAACTCACTGCACGTTTAGAAGCATCTGGAGCAAGTGCTCGTGGAGTTAAAAGAAGCCAGCTTTTCCCCAGATGTCCTTCCCCATGTCTTGGGCTCAGGCCTGCTGTCTTTAAGGAGCTCTGGAGAAGAAGTAAGATTCCATCATTGACAGAGGGCAAGTGCTAGGCCACCTGGAAGGTGAGCTGTCATCTCTTCAGCCCAACAGTTTCCCTGAGCCCTCAAAATTTTAGACTGAGCTGTCGGCCTGCGTCATGGAGCAGCAGAAAAATGGGTCTGTTTCCCCGAGATCCACCCAGCTGAGGTAGCCCCTGTCTTCATGTTCACCAGCACCCCAGTTTTCCCATGAGGAGGGGCTGATGGGGTTGGTTTACCTGGTCAAGGGGCAAGCAAAGTATGGCACACACCCCTTCACCAGGGCTGTTCCTGTGTTTGCTTGTCTGGGCCCCCCGCAGTGGTGTGGCTAGAGCCTGGATTCCCGGTTCCCTCTGCTGTCTGGGGTGGTGGGGCTGGCTTCACTCTGCACCTGGGAACAAGAGCCACATCAGCTAATGCCAACAAGAACCACTGAGGGCAGGCATCGTGTAATCTCAGCACTTTAGGGGACTGAAGCTGGAGGATTACTTGGGCTCACGAGTTCAAGACCAGCCTGAGCAACATGGCAAAACCCTGAAAATTAGCCAGGCGTGGTGGTCTGGGTCTGGCCCAGACTGGGATCAGGGTTGTGGTATTCTTTCTCAGGAGGATGGCTTGAGCTTGGGAAGCAGAGGTTGCAGTGAGCCAAGATCGAGCCACTGCACTCTAGCCTGGGCCACAGAGCTGGGACCTAAGAGTTTCACTCCTCCTCAAGAGGAGCTGAATAATGGACAAGCACCCGGAGATTCCCTGCAGATGTGGAGCAGCAGATCCTTACTACCTGAAGGCAGAAAGATGAGCATAATGACCTCTGAAGGTCACCTTTTTCCTCCCACTCCCACCTAAGAACACCTCTGTAGGCGAGCAGGCTGGAAAGCTACCAGACACCGAGCAGGGGGCCCCTATGCTGGACCTGCTCTTCCCCCACCTGGAATGCTTTCCTTGTTTCCACTGAATGCACCTTACCTTTCCAGGGCCACCTTCCTGAGCATGTCAGCCGAAGCTCAGAGATCCATATGCCTCTTAGGTCCCACCACACTGGGAGGCATTCAATCCATGCAGAGTATTTCCCTGATGTTCCTTTTGCTTGTCAGATAAGGTGCGTCCTGAGGGCAGAGACCCACCACCACCACTGTTGTCCACCGTATGGTATTGAAAACCCACAGGCTCATGGCATACCTCAGTGAATCTGTGTGCCGTGAAGATGTGTGTATGCGTGTGTCTGCTGCTGTCACCAGTGTGTCCTCAGAAAGCACTTGGATTCCCCAGCTACGGCTGTGCAACTGTGGGCTGATTTACCAGGCTCGTTAGTACTGTCATGAGATGTAGCACGTTTGCTTTCCGTGTGGTTGGATTTCTGGGAGTGATGTCCACAGGGCTTGGCTGTTCCTGGCAGCCTGCCAGGTGGTGGTGTTCTTGGAGAGAGGGGTGGCGTGGTGCCCAGGCTCTGTGGCAGCACGGGATCCCATCCCGCAGGTGCAGTCTAGGGCCTCTGCCAAGGTGGC